GTGTGTCCCCCAGTGTCACCTCCCCAGGTGTGTCCCCTGACCCTTCTACCTGCCCAGGTGTCTCCCCCAGTGTCACCTCCCAGGTGTGTCCCCTGACCCCTCTCACCCTGCCCCAGGTGTCCCCCCCCAGTGTCACCTCCCAGGTGTGTCCCCTGACCCTTCACCCTTCCCAGGTGTAACCCCCCAGTGTCACCCTCCCCAGGTGTGTCCCCTGACCCCCTTTCACCTCCCCAGGTGTGTCCCCCCCAGTGTCACCTCCCCAGGTGTGTCCCCTGACCCCCTTTACCTCCCAGGTGTCCCCCCCAGTGTCACCTCCCCAGGTGTGTCCCCCTGACCCCTTTCACCTCCTCCCCCAGGTGTCCCCCCCCAGTGTCACCTCCCCAGGTGTGCCCCCCCAGTGTCACCTCCCAGGTGTCCCCCCTCACCTGCCCAGGTGTCCCCGCAGTGTCACCTGCCCAGGTGTCCCCCTCACCTGCCCAGCTGTCCCTCCCAGTGTCACCTTGCCCAGGTGTGTCCCTTGACCTCTTTACCTCCCCAGGTGTCCCCCCCAGTGTCACCTCCCCAGGTGTGTCCCCTGACCCCCTTTACCTCCCCAGCTGTCCCCCCCAGTGTCACCTGCCCAGGTGTCCCCCCCAGTGTCACCTCCCCAGGTGTGTCCCCCCCTCACCTGGCCATGTCCTCAGCAGGTAATGCAGGACCTCGATGTGTCTCTTGAAATCCACGGCCCCGGCCACGCCCTCGCCGTGGGGGTGGCCCCGATGGCCCCGGGGGTGGCCCTGGTGGCCCTGGGCGTGGCCCTGGGCGTGGCCCTGGGCGTGGCCCTGGGGGTGGCCCCCGGGGCAGGTGTGCTGGTGGCCGGGGGGCAGCAGGACGGGCCCGAAACACACGGCCAGGTTTTGGGGGGTCATGCGGTTGAAGGGCTGGAACGAGGCCACCAGGGCCAGGTGCTCCAGGAGCCGCCGCAGGGTGGCCTGGGGACAACGCGGGGACGTCACCTGGGGGCACCTGGGGGGCACCTGCCCACCCAAAACAAACCCTGGGGACACCAGGGATGTCACCTGGGGGCACCTGCCCACCCAAAATAAACCATGGGGACAACGCGGGGACGTCACCTGAGGGCACCTGGGGGGCACCTGGGGGGCACCTGCCCACCCAAAATAAACCCTGGGGACACCAGGGATGTCACCTGGGGGCACCTGGGGGGCACCTGCCCACCCAAAACAGAGCCAAGGGGGCTGGGGGTGGTCCCTGGGGGCACCTGGGGGGCACCTGCCCACCCAAAATAAACCCTGGGGATACCAGGGATGTCACCTGGGGGCACCTGGGGGGCACCTGCCCACCCAAAACAGAGCCAAGGGGCCTGGGGGTGGTCCCTGGGGGCACCTGGGAGGCACCTCCCTCACCCAAAATAAACCCTGGGGACACCAGGGATGTCACCTGGGGGCACCTGGGGGGCACCTGCCCACCCAAAACAAACCCTGGGGACAACGCGGGGACGTCACCTGGGGGCACCTGGGGGGCACCTGGGGGGCACCTGCCCACCCAAAACAGAGCCAAGGGGACTGGGGTGGTCCCTGGGGAGCACCTGGGGGCACCTGCCCACCCAAAATAAACTCCTGGGGACACCAGGACGCCACCTGGGGGCACCTGGGGCACCTGGGGGCACCTGCCCACCCAAAATAAACCCTGGGGACACCAGGGACGTCACCTGGGGGCACCTGGGGGGCACCTGGGGGCACCTGCCCACCCAAAATAAACCCTGGGGACACCAAAACAGAGCCAAGGGGGCTGGGCAGGTCCCTAGGGCACCTGGGTGCCCCCTTTTCCATCAATCCCCCTCTTTCCCACCCCGTCCCCCCTTTCCCTGTCCTCCATTCCCATCCCCCATCCCCCATTCCCATCCCCCATCCCCCATTCCCATCCCCCATTCCCATCCCCATTCCCAATCCCATTCCCATCCCCCATTCCCATCCCATTCCCATTCCCATCCCCATTCCCATCCCCCATTCCCATCCCCATTCCCATCCCCATTCCCATTCCCATTCCCATCCCCAACTCCATTCCCATCCCCCATTCCCATCCCCATTCCCATCCCCCATTCCCATTCCCATTCCCATCCCCCAATCCCCTTCCCATCCCCCATTCCCATTCCCATTCCCATTCCCATTCCCATCCCCCATTCCCATTCCCATTCCCATCCCCACCTTCTCCACGGGGGGCAGACACTCGAGCAGGGCGGGGCCGTCCCCGGGGGGGTCCTGGGGGGGTCCCCGGGGGGGTCTCCGGGCCATGGCCTCGAGCACCACGTGGTGCAGCCGGGGGGTCACCAGGGGGGTCGGCAATTCCCGCAGGAAATCCTTCAGGATCCCTAGAACACGGGGAGTTAACGGGGAGATTGGGATAGGGGGTCGGCAATCCTGCAGGAAATCCTTCAGGATCCTGGGAACATGGGAATTAAAGGGAGGGAGGGAAATATGGGAATGGGGGATATTGGGATAGGGGGGTCGGCAATTCCCGCAGGAAATCCTTCAGGATCCCTGGGAAATATAGGAATTAAAGTGGGATATTGGGATAGGGGGTCGGCAATTCCTGCAGGAAATCCTTCAGGATCCCTGGGAAATGTGGGAATTAAAGTGGGATATTGGGATAGGGGGGTCGGCAACTCCCACAGGAAATCCTTCAGGATCCCTGGGAAATACGGGAATTAATGGGGGGGATATTGGGATAGGGGGTCAGCAACTCCACGAGGAAATCCTTCAGGATCCCTGGAAATATAGGAATTAATGGGGATATTGGGATAGGGGTCAGCAATTCCTGCAGGAAATCCTTCAGGATCCCTGGGAAACACAGGAATTAAAGGGGAGGGAGGGAATATGGGGAGAATATTGGGATAGGGGTCTGAACTCCTGCAGGAAATCCTTCAGGATCCTGGGAAATATGGGAATTAAAGGGGGATATTGGGATAGGGGGGTCGGCAACTCCCGCAGGAAATCCTTCAGGATCCCTGGGAAATGTGGGAATGGGGGGGGAAGGGGACAGCATGGACCTGGGGATGGGGAGGGGGGATATTGGGATAGTGGGGACAGTGAGAGATATTGGGGATATTGGGGATATTGGGGATATTGAGGGTATTGGGGACATTGGGGATATTTGGGATATCAGGGATATTGGGGACATTGGGGGTATTTAGGATATTGGGACATTGGGGATATTTGGGATATTTGGGACGTTGGCAACATTGGGGGACTTTGAGGACCTGGGGAGATACTGGGGGCAGGAGATATTGGGGACAAGGACATTTAGGACAGGTCCCTTGACCCCTTGGTGGCCCAGGAGGACATTCAGGACAGGTCCCAGGGGGCCCTGGTGGCCCAGAGGACACCGAGGACAGGTCCCTTGAGCCCCTGGTGGCACAGGGGACACTGAGGACAGGTCCCAGGGGGTCCTGGTGGCCCAGGGGACATTTAGGACAGGTCCCAGGGGGTCCTGGTGGCCCAGGAGGACATTTAGGACAGGTCCCTTGAGCCCCTGGTGGCCCAGGGGACAGGGGGGCCAGGTCCCTTGACCCCTTGGTGGCCCAGGGGACATTTAGGACAGGTCCCAGGGGGTCCTGGTGGCCCAGGAGGACATTTAGGACAGGTCCCTTGAGCCCCTGGTGGCCCAGGGGACATTTAGGACAGGTCCCAGGGGGTCCTGGTGGCCCAGGGGACATTTAGGACATGTCCCAGGGGATCCTGGTGGCCCAGGGACACCGGGGACAGGTCCCACAAATTCCTGGTGGCCCAGGGGGACATGGGGGACAGGTCCCACGAGGTCCTGGTGGCCCAGGGGACACCGAGGACAGATCCTTTGAGCCCTGGTGGCCCAGGGGACAGGGGGGCCAGGGTCCTGGCCAGGACATTAGGACAGATCCCTTGAGGCCCTGGTGGCCCAGGGAGACAGGGGACCAGGTCCCACGAGGTCCTGGTGGCCCAGGGGGACATGGGGGACAGGTCCCTTGACCCCTTGGTGACCCAGGGGACAGGGGGCCAGGTTCCAGGGGGTCCTGGTGGCCCAGGGGACACGGAGGACAGGTCCCTTGGGATCCTGGTGGCCCAGGGGACAGGGGCCAGGTCCCGGGGTCCTGGTGGCCCAGGGGACAGGGGGGACAGGTCCCAGGGGGTTCTGGTGGCCCAGGGGACAGGGGTCCAGGTTCCAGGGTATCCTGGTGGCCCAGGGGACAGGGGGGCAGGTCCCAGGGTATCCTGGTGGCCCAGGGGACAGGGGGGACAGGTCCCAGGGGGTTATCCTGGTGGCCCAGGGGACAGGGGTCCAGGTTCCAGGGGGTCCTGGTGGCCCAGGGGACAGGGGGTCCAGGTCCCAGGGGGTCCTGGTGGCCCAGGGGACAGGGGTCCAGGTTCCAGGGGGTCCTGGTGACCCAGTGGACAGGGGGGCCAGGTTCCAGGGGGTCCTGGTGGCCCAGGGGACACCGAGGACAGGTTCCAGGGTATCCTGGTGACCCAGGGGACAGGGGGGACAGGTCCCAGGGTATTCTGGTGGCCCAGGGGACAGGGGGGACAGGTCCCATGACACCTTGGTGACCCAGGGGACAGGGGGCCAGGTTCCCGGGGGTCCTGGTGGCCCAGGGGACAGGGGGTCCAGGCTCCAGGGTATCCTGGTGGCCCAGGGGACAGGGGGGACAGGTCCCAGGGGATCCTGGTGGCCCAGGGGACATTTGGACAGGTCCCTTTAGGTTCTGGTGGCCCAGGGGACAGGGAGGCCAGGTTCCAGGGGTCCTGGTGGCCCAGGGGACAGGGGTCCAGGCTCCCGGGGGTCCCCACGCACCGGTGATGACGTGGATGTCGGGGCAGAGGCGCTCGCAGAGCGCGGTGGCTGCGCCGTCCCTCTCGAAGGCGTCGCGGAGCTGCCTCTTCACCGCTGCCGAGCCACAGAGGCGGTACAGCCCCACCACCTGCAGGTATGGGGGGCTTTGGGGGGCTCTGGGGGGCTTTGAGGGGCTTTGAGGGGCTTTGGGGGCTCACAGAGCCAGTACAGCCCCACCACCTGAGGGGGATTGGGGATTTGGGGTCTCTGGGGTCACAGAGGCGGTACAGCCCCACCACCTGTGGGGTACAGGGGGCTTTGATTGGGGGTCACAGAGCCGGTACAGCCCCACCACCTGAGGGGGATTGGGGGGAGCTTTGGGGGTTTGGGGGTCACAGAGCCGGGTACAGCCACCACCACCTGAGGGTACGAGGGGATTTGGGGGCTCTGGGGGCTCAGAGGGGGCTCTGGGGCCACAGAGCGGTACAGCCCCACCACCTGAGGGTATGGGGATTTGGGGGGCTTTGGGGGCTCTGGGGCTCACAGGCGGTACAGCCCCACCACCTGAGGGGATTGGGGGGCTTTGGGGGTCTCTGGGGCCACAGAGGCCGGTACAGCCCACCACCTGTGGGGTGCGGATTGGGGGGCTTTGGGGTCACAGAGCCGGTACAGCCCCACATAGGCCTGCGGGCTTGGGATGGGGGCTTTGGGGGCTCACAGAGGCCGGTACAGCCCCACCACCTGAGGGGTGCAGGGGGGCTTTGGGGGGGCTTTGGGGGCTCTGGGGCCACAGGCGGTACAGCCACTACCTGGGGGTATGGGGTTGGGGGCTCTGGGGAGGGCTTGGGGGTCTCTGGGGCCACAGAGCCGGTGCAGCCACCACCTGCAGGGTATGGGGGGGGGCTTTGGGGGGCTTTGGGGGGCTCAGAGAGGGCTCTGGGGCCACAGGCGGTACAGCCCCACCACCTGAGGGGTATGGGGAGTTGGGGGGCTTTGGGGGCTCTGGGGCCACAGAGCCGGTACAGCCCACCACCTGAGGGTACAGGGGGCTTTGGGGGGTCTTTGGGGGAGCTGCTCTGGGGGGGTGTCTCGGGGGCTCTGGGGCCACAGAGCCGGTACAGCCCCACCACCTGCGGGGGCATGGGGGGCCTGGGGGGTCTCAGGGGGTCTCTGGGGGTGTCTCAGGGGTCTCTGGGGCCGCAGAGCCAGTGTAGCCACCACCTGCAGGGGCATGGGGGGCTTTGGGGGGCTTTGGGGGTCTCTGGGGTGATCTCTGGGGGTCCCAGGGGGCTCCAGCCCCACATCCACCCCCTCCCCAGAGGGGAAAGGGCAGAGTTGTGTCCACTCTGGGACACCGAGGGAACGGCCCACGGGAGGAGACGCCGAGAGGAGAACTCGGGAGAGGCACAAAAGGGGCTGGAGAGCATGGATGAGTCGGGAGAGCATGGATAAGAGTGGAGAACATGGAGAAGAGTCTGGAGAACATGGATAACAGAGTCTGGAAAACATGGATAAGAGGCTGGAGAACATGGATGAGTCTGGAGAACATGGAGAAGAGTCTGGAGAACATGGAGAAGAGTCTGGAGAACATGGAGAAGAGTCGGGAGAACATGGAGAAGGGGCTGGAGAGCAGGACAAGGGGCTGGAGAGCAGGAGAAGGGGCTGGAGAGCATGGAGAAGGGGCTGGAGAGAAGGAGAAGGAGCTGGAGAGCAGAAGGGGCTGGAGAACATGGATAATAGGGTGGAGAACATGGAGAAGGGGCTGGAGAGCAGGAGAAGGGGATGGAGAGCAGGAAAAGGGGCTGGAGAACATGGATAAGAGGGTGGAACACATGGAAAAGGGGCTGGAGAGCAGAAGGGAATGGAGAGCAGGAGAAGGGGTTGGAGATCATGGATAATAGGGTGGAGAACATGGAGAAGGGGCTGGAGAACAGGAGAAGGGGCTGGAGAACAGGAGAAGGGGATGGAGATCATGGATAAGAGGGTGGAACACATGGAGAAGGGGCTGGAGAGCAGGAAGGGGCTGGAGAACATGGATAATAGGGTGGAGAACATGGAGAAGGGGCTGGAGAGCATGGAGAAGGGGCTGGAGAACATGGATAAGAGTCTGGAGAACATGGATAAGAGGCTGGAGAGCAGGAGAAGCTGGAGAACAGGAGAAGGGGCTGGAGATCATGGATAAGAGGGTGGAACACATGGAGAAGGGGCTGGAGAGCAGAAGGGGCTGGAGATCATGGATAATAGTGTGGAGAACATGGAGAAGGGGCTGGAGAACAGAAGGGTTTGGAGAGCAGAAGAAGGAGCTGGAGATCATGGATAAGGGTGGAGAACAGGAGAAGGGGCTGGAGAACATGGAGAAGGGGCTGGAGAACAGGAGAAGGGGCTGGAGATCATGGATAAGAGTGGGGAGAACATGGAGAAGGGGTTGGAAACCAGGAGAAGGGACCCCCCCCAGCTCACCTTGAGCCCCCGGAGCTCGATCTCGGCCAGGCACCTCTGGATGATGAGGGGCACCCTGGAGGGGTCCCCCTCGCGCTCCACCAGCTGCCCCAGCTCCACCCCGAACACCCGCGGCTCCCGCGGCTCCGGAGCCTCCCAGCGCTCCAGCAGGGTCAGCCTGGAGTACAGCACCCCCCGGGGCTGCAGCTGCACGGCCAGCTGCTGGACACGCTCACCTGGGGGGACACCCGGGGGGCACGGGGTCACCGGGACACCCACCGGGCCAGGGGACCACCCAGGAGCTTCTCCACCACCTCCCCACCCCAGAGCCATTGGGATTTCCACAGATCCAACCTCCAAATCCCCCTTTTTTCCCCCCAAAACTCCCTCAGAACGAGCTTCTCGACCACCTCCCCACCCCAGGGCCATCGGGATTTACCCGGATCCAACCCCAAATCCCCCTTTTTCCCCCCAAAATTCCCTAAGGAGGAGCTTCTCCACCACCTCCCCACCCCAGAGCCATCGGGATTTCCACAGATCCAGCCCCCAAAATCCACCTTTTTCCCCCCAAAACTCCCTAAGGAGGAGCTTCTCCACCACCTCCCCACCCCAGGGCCATCGGGATTTCCACAGATCCAACACCCAAATCCCCCTTTTTTTCCCCAAAACTCCCTCAGAACGAGCTTCTCCACCTTCCCACCCCGGACCCATCGAGATTTCCCCGGATCCAGCCCCCAAATCCCCCTTTTTTCCCCCAAAACTCCCTCAGAACGAGCTTCTCCACCACCTTCCCACCTGGACCCACCGGGATTTCCCCAGATCCAGACCCCAAATCCCCCTTTTTTCCCTCAAAACTCCCTAAGGAGGAGCTTCTCCACCACCTCCCCACCCCAGAGCCATCGGGATTTCCACAGATCCAGCCCCCAAAATCCACCTTTTTTTCCCCAAAACTCCCTCAGAACGAGCTTCTCCACCACCTTCCCACCCTGGACCCACCGGGATTTCCCCAGATCCAGACCCCAAATCCCCCTTTTTTCCCCCAAAATTCCCTAAGGAGGAGTCTCTCCACCACCTCCCCACCCCAGACCCACCGGGATTTCCACAGATCCAGCCCCCAAATCCCCCTTTTTTTTCCCCAACACTCCCTCAGAACGAGCTTCTCCATCACCCCCCACCCCAGAGCCATCGGGATTTCCTCAGATCCAGCCCCGAAATCCACCTTTTTTCCCTCAAAACTCCCTCAGAACGAGCTTCTCCACCACCTTCCCACCCCAGAGCCATCGGGATTTCCACAGATCCAGCCCCAATCCACCTTTTTTCCCCCAAAACTCCCTAGGGAGGAGCTTCTCCACTACCTTCCCACCCCTAAACCCACCTGGACCCACCGGGGGTTTCCCCAGATCCAACCCCCAAATCCCCCTTTTTCCCCAACACTCCCTCAGAACGAGCTTCTCCATCACCCTCCCACCCCGAAACCCACCTGGACCAATCGAGATTTCCCCAGATCCAGACCCCAAATCCCCCTTTTTTCCCCCCAAACTCCCTCAGAACGAACTTCTCCCCACCTCCCCACCCCTGAAACCCCCCATCCCCGAGAGATTTCCCTGGATCCAGCCCCCAAATCCCCTTTTTTCCCCAACACTCCCTCAGAACGAGCTTCTCCACCACCTTCCCACGTGGACCCACCGGGATTTCCCCAGATCCAACCCCCAAATCCCCCTTTTCCCCCAAAACTCCCTCAGAACGAGCTTCTCCACCACCTTCCCACCCGAAACCCACCTGGACCAATCGAGATTTCCCCAGATCCAGCCCCCAAATCCCCCTTTTCTCTCCCCAAACTCCCTCAGAATGAGCTTCTCCACCACCTTCCCACCCCGAAACCCACCTGGACCAATCGAGATTTCCCTGGATCCAGCCCCCAAATCCCCAAAAACTCCCTCAGAACGAGCTTCTCCACCACCTTCCCACCCCGAAACCCACCTGGACCAATCGAGATTTCCCCAGATCCAGCCCCCAAATCCCCCTTTTTTTCCCCCCAAACTCCCTCATAACGAGGCTGCTCCTCCACCTCCCCACCCTGGAAACCCCCAGACCCCCTGAGATTTCCCTGGACCCCCAAACCCACCCTCGAAGAGCCTCGCCAGCGCCACTGCCCCGTGGCAGCAGAGGCGGTCTCTCCGTGCCAGGGGGTCGCGGGCGAGCACGACCACCCTGAGCGTGGCTGCGGCCTCCAGGGGCAGGTTGAAGGTGTGGTCGAGGGGCAGGAACTCGCTCCCGGCCGGCAGCAGCGCCGTGCGGGCCCGGCTGGCCCCGTCCACCTGCAGGACGCAGAACACCCCGCGCGGCTCCGGCCGCGGCGTGCCGCAACCCCTCAGCCCGGACCCGCAGCAGCCCCGAGGCAGCGCCCACCCCCTGAGCCCCCGAGTAGTCCCCGCAGCCGTACGGGCGGAACGACCCCCAGTCCGGCCCGGGCCCCCCCGGCGTGGGGGGACCCCCGAGCCTGGCGGGCAGCTCGGGGAGTCGCCGTCGCTGCGGTGGCCGCCCCTGGGTGTCCCCACGCGTGCCGAGGCCACGCTGGTGTCCAGGTGGTAGCGGCCGATGACGGTGCGGGATTCCCAGCGGGATTCCGGGGGACAGGCACCCCAGGCCCGTCGGGGCTGGGGGGGCAGCGGGGGCTGCGCAGGCTGAGCTTCCGACGCAGCTCCGGCAGCTTCTTCATCTTCAGCGACAGGCGCCGAACGGTGCCGGTGCCCGTGCCGGGGGGCTTGGAGCCTTTGGGGGCCGGGAGAGCCTTCGGGGGGCTGCGCGGGGGCGCGGGGGGGCTCGGCAGCTTCGCTGGGGGGAGAGAGAGGGTCAGGGGGTGGGGGAGAGAGGGAAAAGAGGGGGTCTGAGGGGTAAGGGGCTCGGCAGCTTCACTGGGGGGAGAGAGGAGTCAGATGGTGGGGGTAGTGGGAGAAGGGGGGTCAGGGGGCTCAGCAGCTTCACTGGGGGAGAGAGGGGTCAGGGAGTAGGGGTAGTGGGAAAAAGGGAGGGTCGGAAGTCGGGGGCTCGGCAGCTTCGCTGGGGGAGAGAGGGGTCAGGGGTGGGGGAGAGGGGTCAGGGGATGGGGACATTGGGAAGAAGGGGGAGTCAGGGGGACTCGGCAGCTTCACTGGGGGGGGAGAGAGGGGTCAGGGGGTGGGGGGCACTGGGAAAGGGGAGAGGGGTCGGGGGGCACTGGGAAGGCTGGAAACTGCTGTGGGGACAGGGGACACTGGGGATGGGGACACTGGGGATGGGGACACTGGGGACAGGGGACACTGGGGATGGGGACACTGGGGATGGGGACACTGGGGACAGGGGACACTGGGGATGGGGACACTGGGGACAGAGGACACTGGGGACAGGGGACACTGGGGACAGGGGACACTGGGGATGGGGACACTGGGGATGGGACACTGGGGACAGGGACACTGGGGACCAGGGGACACTGGGGATGGGGACACTGGGGACCAGAGGACACTGAGGATGGGGACACTGGGGATGGGGACACTGGGGACAGGGACACTGGGGATCGGGGACACTGGGGACAGAGGACACTGGGGACAGGGGACACTGGGGACAGGGGACACTGGGGATGGGGACACTGGGGATGGGGACACTGGGCACCCGGACTATGGGGACAGGGGACATGGAGTTTGGGGACACCGGGGACAGGAACTGTGGGGTCCAGGTGACACCAAGGCTCAGGTGACACTGGAGAGATGGGATATTGGGGACAGGGTCCCTGGGGACAGGGGACATTGGGGACAGGGGACACCGAGGCTCAGGTGACGCTGGAGAGATGGGACACTGGGGACAGGGTCCCTGGGGACAGGGGACACTGAGGCCCAGGTGACAGGGGGGACAAGAACTGTAGGGACAGGGAACACTGGGGACAGGTTCCAGGTCCCAGGGGACCCTGGGGACACACTGACCCAGCCCTGGGGACACACTGACCCTGCCCTGGGGACACACTGACCCCTGGGGACACACTGACCCTGGGGACACACTGACCCACCCCTGGGGACACACTGACCCAGCCCTGGGGACACACTGACCCTGGGGACACACTGACCCAGCCCTGGGGACACACTGACCCCTGGGGACACACTGACCCAGCCCTGGGGACACACTGACCCTGGGGACACTGACCTGGGGACACACTGACCCTGCCCTGGGACACACTGACCCTGCCCTGGGGACACACTGACCCTGGGGACACTGACCCAGCCCTGGGGACACACTGACCCTGCCCTGGGACACACTGACCCCTGGGACACACTGACCTGCCCGGACACACTGACCCCTGGGGACACACTGACCCTGGGGACACACTGACCCAGCCCTGGGGACACACTGACCCTGGGGACACACTGACCCAGCCCTGGGGACACACTGACCCCTGGGGACACACTGACCCTGCCCTGGGGACACTGACCCCTGGGGACACACTGACCCTGGGGACACACTGACCCTGCCCTGGGGACACACTGACCCTGGGGACACACTGCCCAGCCCTGGGGACACACTGACCCTGGGGACACACTGACCCCTGGGGACACACTGACCCAGCCCTGGGGACACACTGACCCAGCCCTGGGGACACACTGACCCTGCCCTGGGGACACACTGACCCTGGGGACACACTGACCCCTGGGGACACACTGACCCTGCCCTGGGGACACTGACCCAGCCCTGGGGACACACTGACCCTGGGGACACACTGACCCTGGGGACACACTGACCCCTGGGGACACACTGACCCAGCCCTGGGGACACACTGACCCTGCCCTGGGGACACACTGACCCTGCCTGGGGACACACTGACCCAGCCCTGGGGACACACTGACCCCTGGGGACACACTGACCCAGCCCTGGGGACACACTGACCCACCCCTGGGGACACACTGACCCCTGGGGACACACTGACCCAGCCCTGGGGACACACTGACCCACCCTGGGGACACACTGACCCACCCTGGGGACACACTGACCCCTGGGACACACTGACCCCTGGGGACACACTGACCCTGCCCTGGGGACACACTGACCCAGCCCTGGGGACACACTGACCCCTGGGGACACACTGACCCTGAGGACACACTGACCCTGGGGACACACTGACCCTGCCCTGGGGACACACTGACCCTGCCCTGGGGACACACTGACCCTGCCCTGGGGACACTGACCCTGCCCTGGGGACACTGACCGCCCTGGGGACACACTGACCCTGCCCTGACACTGACCCTGGGGACACACTGACCCCTGGGGACACACTGACCCAGCCCTGGGGACACACTGACCCAGCCCTGGGGACACACTGACCTGCCCTGGGGACACACTGACCCAGCCCTGGGGACACACTGACCCCTGGGGACACACGACCCTGCCCTGGGGACACACTGACGCCCTGGGGACACACTGACCTGCCCTGGGGACACACTGACCCTGCCCTGGGGACACAATCACCCCTGGGGACACACTGACCCTGCCCTGGGGACACACTGACCCTGGGGACACACTGACCCTGCCCTGGGGACACACTGACCCTGCCCTGGGGACACACTGACCCTGGGGACACACTGACCCCTGGGGACACACTGACCCAGCCCTGGGGACACACTGACCCCTGGGGACACACTGACCCTGGGGACACACTGACCCAGCCCTGGGGACACACTGACCCCTGGGGACACACTGACCCTGGGGACACACTGACCCTGGGGACACACTGACCCCTGGGGACACACTGACCCCTGGGGACACACTGACCCACCCCTGTGACCCTGGGGACACACTGACCCCTGGGGACACACTGACCCAGCCCTGGGGACACACTGACCCTGGACCCTGACCCTGGGGACACACCTGACCCAGCCCTGGGGACACACTGACCCCTGGGGACACACTGACCCTGGGGACACACTGACCCAGCCCTGGGGACACACTGACCCCGCCCTGGGGACACACTGACCCAGCCCTGGGGACACACTGACCCTGGGGACACACTGACCCCTGGGGACACACTGACCCTGGGGACACACTGACCCAGCCCTGGGGACACACTGACCCTGGGGACACACTGACCCAGCCCTGGGGACACACTGACCCGCCCTGGGGACACACTGACCCTGCCCTGGGGACACACTGACCCTGCCCTGGGGACACACTGACCCCCTGGGGACACACTGACCCAGCCCTGGGGACACACTGACCCCTGGGGACACACTGACCCGCCCTGGGGACACACTGACCCAGCCTGGGGACACACTGACCCTGCCCTGGGGACACTGACCCAGCCCTGGGGACACACTGACCCAGCCCTGGGGACACACTGACCCACCCCTGGGGACACACTGACCCTGCCCTGGGACACACTGACCCAGCCCTGGGGACACACTGACCCTGGGGACACACTGACCCAGCCCTGGGACACCTGCCCTGGGGACACACTGACCCAGCCCTGGGGACACACTGACCCCTGGGGACACACTGACCCTGCCCTGGGGACACACTGACCCTGGGGACACTGACCTGCCCTGGGGACACACTGACCCAGCCCTGGGACACACTGACCCTGCCCTGGGGACACACTGACCCGCCTGGGGACACACTGACCCACCCTGGGGACACACTGACCCTGGGGACACACTGACCCTGCCCTGGGGACACACTGACCCTGGGGACACACTGACCCCTGGGGACACACTGACCCCTGGGGACACACTGACCCAGCCCTGGGGACACACTGACCCAGCCCTGGGGACACACTGACCCTGCCCTGGGGACACACTGACCCTGCCCTGGGGACACACTGACCCAGCCCTGGGGACACACTGACCCAGCCCTGGGGACACACTGACCCTGCCCTGGGGACACACTGACCCCTGGAGACACTGACTCAGACCTCAGACACCTGACCCTGCCCTGGGACACACTGATCCCTGCCCTGGGGACACTGACCTGGGGACACACGACCCTGCCCTGTGGGACACACTGACCCAGCCCTGGACACGGCCCTGGGGACACACTGACCCTGCCCTGGGGACACACTGACCCAGCCCTGGGGACACACTGACCCTGGGGACACACCCTGACCCAGCCCTGGGGACACACTGACCCTGCGGAGACACTCGACCCTGCCCTGGGGACACACTGACCCAGCCCTGGGGACACACTGACCCAGCCTGGGGACACACATCTGACCCTGGGGACACACTGACCCACCCCTGGCAGCCCTGGGACACTCTGCCCTGAGGTCACACTGACCCTGCCCTGGGGACACTGACCCAGCCCTGGGGACACACTGACCCTGGGGACACAGGCCCTGACCCTGGGGACACTGACCCTGCCCTGGGACACACTGACCCTGGGGACACTGACCTAGCCCTGGGGACACACTGACCCCTGGGGACACACTGACCCCTGGGGACCACACCCCTGGGGACGCACTGAGCCCTGGGGACACTGACCCAGCCTGGGACACTGCCCCGGGGACACACTGACCCTGGGGGACACTGACCCAGCCCCCTGAGACACACTGACCCTGCCCTGGGACACACTGACCCTGGGACACACTGAGCCTGGGACACACTGACCCTGCACTGACCCTGGGGACACACGACCCACCCCTGGGGCACACAGCCTGGGGACACGCAGCCCTGGGGACACGGCCCTGCCCTGGGGACACACTGACCCCTGGGGACACACTGACCCTGCCCTGGGGACACACTGACCCCTGGGGACACACTGACCCTAGCCCTGGGGACACACTGACCCTAGCCCTGGGGACACACTGACCCTGGGGACACACTGACCCTAGCCCTGAGGACACACTGACCCCTGGGGACACACTGACCCTGCCCTGGGGACACTGACCCTGGGGACACACTGACCCAGCCCTGGGGACACTGACCCAGCCCTGGGGACACACTGACCCTGACCCTGGACACAGCCCTGGGGACACACTGACCCTGGGGACACACTGACCCTGCCCTGGGGACACACTGACCCAGCCCTGGGACACACTGACCCTGCCTGGGGACACACTGACCCTGCCCTGGGGACACACCCTGGACCGCCACACTGACCCTGGGGACACACTGACCCTGCCTGGGGACACACTGGCCCACCCTGGGGACACACTGACCCTGGGGACACACTGACCCTGGGGACACTGACCCTGGGGACACCTGACCCTGCCCTGGGGACACACTGACGCCCTGGGGCACACTGACCAGCCTGGGGACACTGACCCTGGGGACACACTGACCCTGCCCTGGGGACACACTGACCCCTGGGGCACACTGACCCTGGGACACACTGACCCCTGGGGACACACTGACCCTGCCCTGGGGACACACTGACCCTGGGGACACTGACCCTGGGGACACACTGACCCCTGGGGACACACTGACCCTGCCCTGGGGACACACTGACCCCTGGGGACACACTGACCCTGGGGACACACTGACCCAGCCCTGGGGACACACTGACCCAGCCCTGGGGACACACTGACCCTGCCCTGGGGACACACTGACCCCTGGGGACACACTGACCCAGCCCTGGGGACACACTGACCCCTGGGGACACACTGACCCTGCCTGGGGACACACTGACCCTGGGGACACTGACCCTGCCCTGGGGACACTGACCCTGCCCTGGGGACACACTGACCCTGGGGACACTGACCCTGGGGACACACTGACCCCTGGGGACACACTGACCCAGCCCTGAGGACACACTGACCCACGCCCTGGGGACACACTGACCCTGCCCTGGGGACACACTGACTCCCTGGGGACACACTGACCCAGCCCTGGGGACACACTGACACCCTGGGGACACACTGACCCACCTGGGGACACACTGACCCACCTCTGGGGACACTGACCCTGGGGACACACTGACCCAGCCCTGGGGACACTGACCCAGCCCTGGGACACACTGACCCTGGGGACACACTGACCCTGGGGCACACTGACCCACCCTGGGGACACACTGCACCCCTGGGGACACACTGACCCTGCCCTGGGGACACACTGACGCCTGGGGACCCCTGGGGACACACTGACCCACCCTGACCCTGGGGACACACTGACCCAGCCTGGGGACACACACTGACCCTTGGGGACACACTGACCGCCTGGGGACACACTGACCCAGCCCTGGGGACACAATCACCCCTGGGGACAGGGGACCGTGGGGACACACTGACCCAGCCCTGGGGACACACTGACCCAGCCCTGGGGACACACTGACACACCCCTGGGGACACAATCACTCACCCCTGGGGACACACTGACCCAGACCTGGGGACACAATCACCCCTGGGGACACACTGACCCACCCCTGGGGACACACACACTCACCTCTGGGGACACACTGACCCACCCCTGGGGACACACTGACCCACCCCTGGGGACACAATCACCCCTGGGGACACACTGACCCCTGGGGACACACACCACTCACTCACTCACCCCCACCCCGGCTCCTCGGGGCTGTCTCTTCCTCCTCCTCCTCCTCCTCCTCCTCCTCCTCGCCGTGTCCCTCAGGTCCCTCCGCGGACCCCCCACCCTTTGGGGGTCCCTCCCGCGCCCCGCGGGGGTCCCGGGGGGGTTCGTTGTCGTCGTCCTCGGGGATGGGGTTGTACCAGATGTGTCCCCCTCCCCCGGCATTGCCGGCATTCCCGGCCGGAGCGCCGGGCCCGCCGGGATCGTTCCCGGCCGCCAGGACCCAGCGGCGGCTGCTCCGCTCCAGGCTCTGCAGGTACGCGCCGGGCCCGGGGGGTCTGCAGGGACCCCCCAGAGCCCCCGAGCCGCTCAGGGGCTGCTCCTCATCCTCCTCCTCCTCCTCCTCCTCATCGGCGTCATCCTCATCATCATCGTCATCGTCATCATCATCATCATCCTGGCACGGCCTGTCTCAGCCGGGCCCCCGAGCCATGCGGGGCGGGGGCCAAAGATTTGGGGGTCCGGCTTGGGGGAGGGCTGGGGAGGGGCAGAGAGAGAGAGAGAAGGGGGAGTGATGGGGGGACAATCCCTAAAATGATGGAGAGAGAGACCGAGGTGATAGGAAGGGGTCGAGGGCACTGGGGAGGAGGGCTGGGAGAACTGGGAATACTGGGAGGGGGGGCTGGGGAACTGGGAGGGGGCTAGGGAACTGGGAGGATACTGGGAGGGGGCTCTGGGGGCAATGGGAAGGAGCTGGGAAGGTACTCGAGGGGGTACTGGGAAGGGGCTGGGAGGGCTGGGAGAGGGTCTGGGGGCTACTGGGAAGGGGGCTGGGAGAACTGGGAAGGGGGTCTGGGGAACTGGGAATACTGGGGGGGATCTGGGGCACTGGGAAGGGGTCTGAGGGACTGGGAATATTGGGAAGAGGGTCTGAGGGAACTGGGAAGGGGGCTAGGGAACTGGGAATACTGGGAAGGGGGTCTGGAGTCACTGGAATACTGGGAAGGGTGTCTGGGGGCAATGGGAGGGACTGGGAAGGGGTCAGGGGCACTGGGGAGGAAGGGGCTGGGAGAACTGGGAATACTGGGGGGTCTGGGGAACTGGGAGTGAGGGGGATCTGGGGGCACTGGGAAGGGGGCTGGGAGAACTGGGAGTACAGGGAGGGGGGTCTGGGGGCAATGGGAGGGGTGCTGGGAAGGGAGCTAGGGGTACTGGGAGGAGGGGTCTGGGGACACTGGGAATACTGGGAGAGGGTTCTGGGGGCAACGGGGGATCTGGGGGCACTGGGAAGGGGGCTGGGGAACTGAGAAGGGGGCTGGGGAACTGGGAATACTGGGAAGGGGTGTCTGGGGCAATGGGAGCGGGGGGATCTGGGGGCACTGGGAAGGGGGCTGGGGAACTGGGAAGAGGCTGGGGAACTGGGAGTACAGGGAGGGGGTCTGGGGAACTGGGAAGAGGGGGAGGATCTGGGAGCACTGGGAAGGAGGCTGGGAGGACACTGGGAAGGGGGCTGGGGGAACTGGGAATACTGGGAGGGGGTGTCTGGGGGCACTGGGAGGAGGATCTGGGGCATTGGGAAGGGGACTGGGAGAACTGGGAATACTGGGAGGGGGTGTCTGGGGGCACTGGGAGGAGGGATATCTGGGGGCACTGGGAAGGGGGCTGGGAGGACACTGGGAAGGGGGCTGGGGAACTGGGAATACTGGGAGGGGATGTCTGGGGGCAATGGGAGGGGGCTGGGAAGGGGTCTGGGGGCACTGGGAAGGGGATCTGAGGGAACTGGGAATACTGGGAGGGGGATCTGGGGGCACTGGGAGGGGAGATCTGGGGACACTGGGACAGGAGGGGGCTGGGGAACTTGGAGTACAGGGAGGGGCCTCTGGGGGAACTGGGAATACTGGGAGGGGGCTGGGGGCACTGGGAAGGGGTCTGGGGAACTGGGAAGTGAGGGTGGATCTTGGGCACTGGGAAGGGGATCTGGGGCACTGGGAAGTGGGGGGAATCTGGGAGCACTGGGAAGGGGGTCTGGGGGCACTGGGAAGGGGGCTGGGAGGGAGCACTGGGAAGGGGGCTAGGGGAACTAGGGAATACTGGGAAGGGTCTGGGGTCACTGGGAATGACTGGGAAGGGAGTCTGGGGGCAATGGGAGAGGCTGGGGAAGGGTTCGAGGGTTACTGGGAAGGAGGGCTGGGAGAACTGGGAATACTGGGAGGGGGTCTGGGGGCACTGGGAGGGGGATCTGGGGCACTGGGAAGGGGGCCTGGGAGAACTGGGAGTACTGGGAGGGGTCTGGGGGAACTGGGAGAGGGAGGATCTGGGAGCAATGGGAGGGGGCTGGGGAACTGGGAAGGGGGCTGGGGAACTGGGGAAGTGGGGTGGATCTTGGAGCACTGGGAAGGGATCTGGGGGCACTGGGAAGGGGATCTGGGAGCACTGGGAAGTAGGGGGTGGATCTGGGGGCACTGGGAAGGGGATCTGGGGGGGCACTGGGAAGGGGTCGGGGGCACTGGGAAGAGGGGGATCTGGGGGCACTGGGAAGGAGGGGCTGGGGTACTGGGAAGGGGTTCTGTGGGAACTGGGAAGTGGGGGGAATCTGGGGAGCACTGGGAAGGGGGTCTGGGGAACTGGGAATACTGGGAGGGAGTCTGGGGGAACTGGGAGTACTGGGAAGGACCCCTCTCTTGTGCGTTGTCCCCCAATCCCCCAAATTCCCGCCCATCCCGGGGTGGGGGTCCCCCTTTCCCACGGGCTCTTCCAGCAGGAATTTCAGTTGTTTATTCCCGGTTGGAGCCGCGTGGGATTGGGGGGGAGGGGGAGGGGGAACATTGGCCGGACCCCCAAACCACAGCGGGGTCACCGCTGCACCCCAAAAGGGATTGGGGGTTTGGAATGGGGGAAGGGGGAGGCAGGACCCCTCAAATAGCGCCCCCTAATTCCTGCGACGCCCCAAATTCTGCACCCAAAACCCACCTCGGGTGCCCCCACCCCGTGGATCCCATCAAGCCCCCTCCCGGGAGACACCTGATTTCTGTAGAGACCCCTGAGGGGATGGGGGGTCTTTGGAGGTGGTCCCTTCTAATGGGGGTCCTTCCTCGAGAGGGTTGTCCCCCTTTCCTCGGGGGTCCTTCTTTTGGGGGGTCCCTCCTGGGGGTTCCTTTGGGGGCGTCCCTTCCTTTAGGGAGTCTTTCCTTTGAGGGGGTCCCTTCCTTGGAGGGGTGCAGGAGGGACCCCAGATTGATGGGGGCCCTTTTGGGAGTGGGGGTCCCTTTCGGGGGAGCACAGGGAAGGACCCCGGGGTGATGGGGGGCCCTTTCTGGGGTGGGGGTCCCTCCGTGTTGGGGGGTCCTTCCTGGGGGATGGGGTCCCCTTATGGGGAGGTCCCTTCCTCAGAGGTCCTTTCCTCGGGGAGGGGTGTCCCATCCTCTCTGAAGAGGTCCCATCTTTGGAGGGTCCCTTTTAGGGGATGGGGGTCTCTTCCTTAAGGGTGTCCCATTCTGGGAGGTCCTTCTTGGGGGTCCCTTCCGGGGATTCCCCTGCTCAGGAGTGAGGGGGTCTCTTCTTTTGGGGATCCCATCCTGCGGGATGGGGTCTCTTCCTTAGAGAGGTGTCCTCCCTGTGGGAGGGTCCCAACCTGTGCGTGGTTCCCACGCTGTGGAGTGTTCCTTTCTCGAGGGGTCCCTTTCTCGGGGGGTCCCTTTCTCAGGGGGAGGATCCCTTTCTCGAGGGGTCCCTTTCTCGGGGAGTGTCCCTTTCTCAGAGAGGTCCCTTTCTCAGGTGGTCCCTTTCCCCGGGGGATCCCTTTCTCAGGGGTTCCCACGCTGGGGGTCCCTTTCTCAGGGGAGTCCCTTTCTCCGGGGGTGTCCCTTTCTCAGGGGTCCCTTTCTTGGGGGTCCCTTTCTCAGGGATCCCTTTCCCAGGGGTTCCCATCCTGTGGGGGTGTCCCTTTTCTCAGGAGTGTTCCTTTCTCGGGGGTCCCTTTCTCGGGGGTCCCTTTCTCGAGAGTGTCCTTTTCTCAGGGGGTCCCTTTCTCGGGGGGTCCCTTTCTCAGGGGGTGTCCCTTTCCCGGGGGTGTCCCTTTCTCAGGGTCCCTTTCCCGGGGGGTCCCTCCCGGGGGGGTTCCCACCCTCTGGGGGGTGTCCCTTTCTCAGGGTGTCCCTTTCTCGGGGGGGGGTCTCCCTTTCCCGGGGGTCCCTCCCGGGGGGTGTCGCTGCTCGTACCTCCGTCCTTGGCCTCCTCCCGCTCCTCCTTCCCTCCGGGGCGGCCGCGGCCCCTCAGGCGGGACAGGGTCCGGCGCAGCAGCGGCTCCGCCATCGCCGCCCCTTCCCCCCCAAATCCCGGGATTCCCAGGGAGCCCTCGGGATCCTCCGGGATCCCCGGACCCACGGATCCCCAGACCCCCCCGGGCCGGTCCCTCAGCGCGGCGGGGCCTGGAGAGGCGGCAGCGCCATCCCGGCCCCGAATTCCTGGGATGCCGCCCGGCAGCGCTGCCGGGAGCTGGAGTCCGGAATCCAGGGAATGGGATCGGGAGCTGGAGTCCGGAATCCAGGGAATGGGGGAGCTGGAGTCCGGAATCCCGGGAATGGGGGAGCTGCAGTCCGGAATCCCGGGAATGGGAGAGCTGGAGTCCGGAATCCAGGGAATGGGAGAGCTGGAGTCCGGAATCCAGGGAATGGGATCGGGATAGACAGCCCTGGGAATGGGGGAGCTGGAGTCCGGAATCCAGGGAATGGGGGAGCTGCAGTCCGGAATCCAGGGAATGGGAGAGCTGGAGTCCGGAATCCAGGGAATGGGATCGGGAGAGACAGCCCTGGGAATGGGAGAGCTGGAGTCCGGCATCCCGGGAATGGGATCAGGATGGACAGCCCTGGGATGGGGGAGCTGGAGTCCGGAATCCCGGGAATGGGAGAGCTGCAGTCCGGAATCCAGGGAATGGGAAACCCTTGGGATCGGGATAGACAACCCTGGAGCCGGGATTGCCAGCCCTGGGATCGGGACAGACAGCCCTGGGATTGGGATAGTTCCCAGTCGCTCCCAGTTGCTCCCAGTATGGTCCCAGTCACTCCCAGTATGGTCCCAGTCGCTCCCAGTCACTCCCAGTCGCTCCCGGGATGATCCCAGTCGCTCCCAGTATGGTCCCAGTCACTCCCAGTATGGTCCCAGTCACTCCCAGGATGGTCCCAGTCACTCCCAGGATGATCCCAGTCTCTCCCAGTCAGTCCCAGTCGCTCCCAGTCTCTCCCAGTATGGTCCCAGTCACTCCCAGTCGCTCCCAGTATGGTCCCAGTCAGTCCCAGTCGCTCCCAGTCACTCCCAGTATGGTCCCAGTCACTCCCAGGATGATCCCAGTCACTCCCAGTCGCTCCCAGGATGATCCCAGTTGCTCCCAGTCTGTCCCAGTGCTCCCAGAGCAGCCCCTCACTGCACACACACGTTTATTCCCCCAGCCCCCAGGGTGGGTTTTGGGGGTTCTGGGGTTTTTTTTTTTTTGGGGAGTGGGGTGGGGTTTTTGGGGAGTTTTGGGGTTTTGGGGGGTGAGGATTTGGGGAAGGGGGTTTGGGGGTTTGGGGTTTTGGGGGAGTTTCAGGGGTTTTGGAGGGGTTGGGGTTTTTGGGAGTTTGGGGGCATTTTGGGGGGTTGGGGGTGGAGGGTTTTATGGGGGTTGGGAGGTGGGAGTTTTTGGGGTTTTTGGGGGGTTGGGTTTTGGGGGTTTAAAGGGAGTTGTGGTTTTGGGGGTTTGGGGTTTTGGGGTTTTGGGGGGTTTTGGGGATTTTTGGGGAGTGTTTTGGGGTTTTGAGGGGTTGGGGTTTTGGGAGTATTTTGGAAAATTTGGGGGGTTTTGGGGGTTTTGGGGTTGTTTTGGGGGTTTTGGGGTCAGGGCTCTCCTCGCTAGACCCAGCGGAGGTTGCCGGTGCAGGGGTAGTCAGAACCACTGCCCATCCCCCGAACCCCACGCGCAGTTTTCAGGGTCCCCCGTTGGGCTCGTCCCGGTGCCACTAACTGCCAGGGAATGTGGGATCGGCACCGCTGGGGGCCAAAAATACCCCAAAACCTCCCCAAATCCTACAAAAACTAAAATTCCTCAAATCCCCAAACGGCCCAACCCCCAAAATTCAACAAAACCCCAAATAGCCCAGACCCCCAAAATCCCCAAAAAACCCAAATATCCCAAACTCCCCAAAATCCCAAAAAACCCAAATTCCCCAAATCCCCAAACATCCCAAAGCCCCAAAATTCAACAAAACCCCCAAATCCTCCCAATGCCCCAAAACCCCCAAATCCCCCAAACCCCATAAATACCCCAAATCCTGCAAATCCCCAACCCCCCCAAACCCACGAAATCCCCAATCCCCTCAAATCCCCTAAACCCCCAAGCCTCCCAAAATCCCCAATCCCCAAATCCCCAAACCCACGGAATGCCCCCAACTAACTCAATCCTCCCAAACCTCCCAAATCCCCCAAACTCCCCCAAACCCCCAAGCCCCCAAACCCCGCTAAATACCCCAAATCCTGCAAATTCCCCAACCCCCAAACCCACAGAAATCCCCCAACCCCCAAACCCCTAAATCCCCCAAACCCCCAAATCCCCAAACTCCCCAAAGCCCCCAAAATCCCCGGACCTCTCATTTGGGGCCAGGGCGGAGCCGATCATGGTGCCTCCAGGTCCCTTCCAGGTCCTGGTCCCCAAATCCCCAAAATCCCCCATCCCCTAAAATCCCCCAAATCCTCCAAATCCCCAAATCCTCCAAATCCCCCAAAACGCCCAATCCTCCAAATCCCCCAAAACCTCCCAAACCCCAAAATTCCCCAAATCCCCAGACCTCCCAAACCCACAAATCCCCAAAATCTCCCAAAAATACCCCAAAATCCCCCAAATTCCCCAAATCCCCCAACCTCCTAAACCCCTCAAACCCCCAATTCCCCAAACACCCCCAAACCCCCAAATCCTCAAAACTCCCCCAAATCCCCAAAATCCCCAAATCCCCCAAACACCCTAAATCCCCCAAACTCCCCCAAATCCCCCAAAATCCCCAAACCCCCCAGAATCCCCCAAATCCCGGACCTCTCGTTTGGGGCCAGAGCGGAGCCGTCGCGGCGCCTCAGGTCCCCCTCAGCTTCTGGTCCCCAAATCCCCCAAAATCCCCCCATCCCTAAAATCCTCCCAAACCCCCAAGATCCCCCAAATCTTCCAAATCCCCCAAAACCCCCAAACCCCCAAAAATTCCCCAAATCTTCCAAACCCCAAATCCCCCAAACCCCAAATCCCACAAATCTTCCAAACCCCCAAATCCCCAAAATTCCCCCAAACCCCCAAATCCCCAAACCCCTCAAATACCCCAAACCCCTAAATACCCCAACCCCCAAATCCTCCAAAGCCCCTCAAACCCCTCAAAATCCCCTCAACCCCCAAATCCCCAAAATTCCCCCAAATCCTCCAAACCCCAAAATCCTCCCAAATCCCCCAACCCCCAAATCCTCCAAACCCCCAAATCCCCCAAAATCCCCCTAAATACCCCAAACCCCCTAAATACCTCAAACCCCCAAAATCCCCCAAATCCCCCAAATCCCCAAACCCCCAAACTCCCCAAAACCCCCAAAGATCCCCGGACCTCTCGTTCGGGGCCAGGGCGGAGCCGTCGCGGCGCCTCCAGGTCCCCTCCAGCTCCTGGTCCCGCACCCCGAGCCAGGCCGGGCTTTGCAGCCGAGGCCTGGGATCAGCCCCTGGGGGGAGGGGCGAAAAAGGCGTGACCCTCCCCACTCCCCTCCACCCCGGCAGAGACCCCGGGTTTGGGAGGGATTTGGAGGGGTTTGGAGTTAAACTCAGCTTGTTTGGGGTCAAACTCAGCTTGTTTGGGGTCGGGGAGGAGGGAAAGGAGGAGAGGAGAGGGAAAGTTGGAGATTCTGGAGGGGTTTAGGATGAGCTTAAATCCTATAAATTCAGGGTTGGGGTGGGTTAGAGATTCATTGGGGTCTGGGGGAGGGTTTAGGATGAGCTTAAATCCTATAAATGTGGGGTTGGGGTGGGTTAGAGCCTCAGTGGGGTCTGGGGGAGGGTTTAGGATGAGCTTAAATCCTATAAATGTGGGGTTGGGGTGGGTTAGAGATTCATTGGGGCCTGGAGGGGTTTAGGATGAGCTTAAATCCTACAAATGTAGGATTAAGAGTAGTTTAGAGGTCCATTGGGATCTGGGGGGGGGGTTAAATCCTATAAATTCAGGATTAGGGGCAGTTTAGAGATTCATTGGGGTCTGGGTTTTTTTTAAATCCTATAAATTCAGGATTAGGGATGGTTTAGAGGTCCATTGGGATCTGGAGGGGTTTAGGATGAGCTTAAATCCTATAAATGTGGGGTTGGGGTGGGTTAGAACCTCAGTGGGGCCTGGGAGGGTTTAGGATGAGCTTAAATCCTATAAATTCAGGGTTGGGGCCTCAATGGAGTCTGCAGGGTCTTAGGCTGAGCTTAAATCCTATAAATGTGGGATGAGGTGGATGAGAGATCCATTGGGATCTGGGGGGTTTTAGGATGAGTTTAAATCCTATAAATTCAGGATTGGGGCCTCAATGGAGTCTGCAGGGTCTTAGGCTGAGCTTAAATCCTATAAATTCAGGGTTGGGGTAGGTTAGAGGTCCATTGGGATCTGGAGGGTTTTAGGATGAGCTTAAATCCTATAAATGTGGGGTTGGGGTGGGTTAGAGCCTCAGTGGGGTCTGGGGGGTTTAGGATGAGTTTAAATCCTATAAATTCAGGGTTAGGGGTGGTTTAGAGGTCCATTGGGACCTGGAGGGTTTTAGGATGAGCTTAAATCCTATAAATTTAGGGTTAGAGGTGGGTTAGAGGTCCATTGGGATCTGGGGGGTTTTAGGATGAGTTTAAATCCTATAAATTCAGGGTTGGGGGTGGTTTAGAGATCCATTTGGACTGGAGGGTTTTAGGATGAGTTTAAATCCTATAAATTCAGGGTTGGGGGTGGTTTAGAGATCCATTGGGATCTGGGGGGTTTTAGGATGAGTTTAAATCCTATAAATTCAGGGTTGGGGGTAGTTTAGAGGTCCATTGGGATCTGGGGGGTTTTAGGATGAGCTTAAATCCTATAAATTCAAGGTTGGGGTGGGTTAGAGCCTAAATGGGGTCTGGGGGGTTTTAGGATGAGTTTAAATGCTGTGTTTTTAGGGTTAGGGGTGGGTTAGAGATTCATTGGGATCTGGGGGGTTTTAGGATGAGTTTAAATCCTATAAATTCAGGATTGGGGCAGGTTAGACGTCCATTGGGATCTGGGGGGTTTTAGGATGAGCTTAAATCCTATAAATTCAGGATTGGGGCAGGTTAGAGGTCCATTGGGATCTGGGGGGTTTTAGGATGAGTTTAAATCC